GCTCAGTGGTAGAGTGCTTGCCTTGCATGCATGAGGCCCTGGGTTCGATTCCTCAGCACCACATAAGCAGAAAAAGCCGGAAGTGGCGATGTGGCTCAAATGGCAGAGTGCTAGCCTTGAGCTGAAGAGCTGAGGGACAGAGCCCAGGCCCTGAGTTCAGGCCCCATGACCAGCACACACAAAAAAAATCAAAAGCTTTTAGTCTTTTCCTTTAAAAATCATTGATGAGGTAGTTTGAACAGTCATACAGCTGAACCAAGTCTTATACACTTCTACTATGATGTGAGGCTAGAGAGACTTGTCTCAGGTGCAAACACAAGGGATGCATAAATAAATATAAAGAATATAAGTAAAGAATATAAAGTAAATAATATAGGCCTGGGGTCTGGAATGTGGCTTAGTGGTAGAGTGCTTGCCTAGCATGCATGAAGCGCTGGGTTTGATTCCTCAGTACCATATGAACAGAAAAAGCCAGAAGTGGCACTGTGCCTCAAGTGGTAGAGTGTGAGCCTTGAACACACAGAGGCTCAGGGACAGCCCAAGCCCTGAGTTTAAGCCCCAGTACTGGCAAAAACAAACAACAAAAAGCATTTAGGGCTGGGTGCCAGTGGCTCACGCCTGTAATCCTAGCTACTCAGGAGGTTGAGATCTGAGGATCAAGGTTCAAAGCCAGCCCAGGCAGGAAAGTCTATGAGACTCCTTTCTCCAATTAACCACCAGAAAACCAGAAGTGGCACTGTGGCTCAAGTGGTAGAGCGCTCACTTTGAACTGAAGAGCTCAGGGACAATGCCCAGGCCCAGAGTTCAAGCCCCACAACCAATCCCCTCCTCCCCCCCCCAAAAAAAAATTCCAAAGGCCAAATGTTTATCTACTTACAGTAAGGAAAGACCTGAGAAGTCAGAGGGAGCCAGGAGATACTTCACTATGTTAAACAGTGTGACGTTTTATACCCTTCAAATATATGCCCCTAGGAGATTTAGGGAGAATTACATGTGCCCTCTGACAAAGCCCAGACATTGGAGCCAGCCATGATCTTCCAGATCACTCACCTGTGCGTATCAGATTGCCTGGATCACATAGCAGCTGCTGGTCTGACCCAGTAACTGCAGGACTTACTTCACCTGCCCACGCCTCCTCGTGCTCTCCAGCCTTCCATCAGCAACTACTCCAATGGGCTCTCGCTGACTCCCTGCCCCTGTGCTTACTGGGGCTGCCCTGCCCCAGCTCGGTGCTTGCTGAGTTATCTGTTTTCCTTTGAGTCTTTGCAATAACCTTTTGGATGAGTATGCTAATACTCACTCCTGTAAATGCCAAAGTAAAACTCAGAAAAAAATTATTGCTATTATTATTGAGGCGTGAGAGCCCGTGGGATGACAGCGTGAGGATCTGACTCGGTGACTCAGTGACACTCAGCGTTGATCCCACCCCACCGTGTGCATTCTCAGAAGGTAACTTACTGCCACACTCATCCCTGCCAGCAATGCCCTGTCTCCCTTTGGCAACTTTTCTGAGCCTGGGGAAGTGGATGTATGTATCTGATGATCTGTCTAGGGTCACTGAAGTATGACCTATCATCTGTTTTTTGTAAATAAAGTTTTATTGGAACACAGGCATGCTCATTCATTTTGCCTATGACTGCTTCCACAGTCCAACGGCAAAAAAAGAAAAAAAAGAGTAGTTGTTATAAAGACCATATGGTCTCCAAGTTGAAAATATTTACTATCTAGTTTTTTTTACAGAAACAGTTTGCCAATCTCAGTGACAGATTTAGACCCAGTAACTCACAATGTGTAAAATAACATTTAAAAGACAATTACAGCTGAGTGTGGTGGGCATGCCTGCAGTCCCAGCAGAGGCAGAAGGACCACAAGCTTGAAGCCACTTTGGACTATGAAGAGAGACCCTGTCTCAAGAAATAAAAATCCATATATATATCCATATCTACTTACATGCAGATATAGAGTACTATAACACACACATATATCTACCCTATATACATTACAGATAACATATAACAATTATACATTATATATAGAACTTATTATGTGGGGCTGGGAATGTGGCTTAGTGTTAGAGTGCTTGCCTAGCATACATGAAGCCACAGGTTTGATTCCTCAGTACCACATAAACAGAAAAAGCTGAAAGTGGTGCTGTGGCTCAAGAGGTAGAATTCTATCCTTGCGCACATAGAGGCTCAGGGACAGAGGCCAGGCCCTGAGCTCAAGCCCAGGACTGGCAAAAAAAATGTATTATGTATTGCGTGTGTGTGTGTGTGTGTGTGTGTGTGTGTGTGTTTATGACTTCTAGAGGAAGGCTGGGTGTACCTCACTGGTAGAGAACTTGCTTAGCATGTGCAAGTCCTGAGTTCAATTCCAAGCACCACATTTTTAAAAAAGTGAAAAATAAATAAATGTCTACTAAGCTGGGTATGATGGCACACTGCTAGAATCTCAGCACTTGGGAGACAGAAAGAGGAGGAGCTCCAGATTGAAGTCAGTTATATAGTGAGACTTTGTCTCAAAAAAAGACTGCTAAAAAGATAAGTAAATCCACTGTGGATTAACAATAATGTTAACACTTTAATTAAAAAAGAAAATGGTAGCCGAGAGCTACAGGCTTACGCCTGTAATCCTAGCTACTCAGGAGGCTGAGATCTGAGGATCATGGTTTAAAGCCAGCCAGGCAAGAAAGTCCATGAAACTCTTATCTCCAATAAACCACCAGAAACTGAAAGTGGTGCTGTAACTCAAGTGAGCTGAAGAGCTGAGGGACAGTGCCAGGCCCAGGGTTCAAGCGCCATGACCAACAAAAAAAAAGAAAGAGAAAGAAAGGAAGAAAGGAAGAAAGAAAATGGTCAGATATTGGAGGCTCACACCTGTAATCCTAGATATTCAGGAGGCTGCCTTTGCCTAGGCAGCAAAGTCGGTGAGACTCATATCTCCAACAAACATCCAAAAAAGCCAGAAGTAGTAAGTCAAATAATAGACTGCTAGCCTTGAGCAAAAAAGCTTAGGGACAGCACCCAGGCCTTGAGTTCAAACCCCAGGACTAGCACGCGCACACATACACGTAGACACACACACATAAAGAAAAAGAAAAGAAAATGGAACGTGGCAGGACTGGAATTCATTGACCATGGTTCAGGCTGTCTTTCAGATAAAACAGCCATTCTCTAAGAAATCTGTTCAGAAGCTGAGGTGGGAAGAGAAAGAAGAGGGAGGGGGAAGAGGGAGGAATAACGAGGGAATGATGCTATAACACCTCTACTTAATGCATTGACTAGTCACACTTTTCCTGATGTGCTTTTTCCATTATTTATCATATTTTTAGTGCTTTTTATGTCAAGCACTAGTTTTAAGGCTCCACTGCATTAAGTCATTTATTCTTCAAAACAACCCTTAGAGGTAGCCCACTGTCGTAATGATTCCCATTTTGTAGAAGAAACAGGCTGGGAGAGATTCAGCAATCTGCTTCAAATCCATAGACAACACGCGAAGGAGCTGGACTTGAAGTGAAGCAGTTTGACTCGGAGTATCTGCTGATGAAGGAGTTTGAGGGAGGAGAGGGGCTTCGCATTGTGAGCACAGCAGGTTGGGGCCAGTGGCCTGGGTCCTCTCGCTAGCCATTGGCTAGACACTGAACTCAATTCCAAAAGGACCTTCAACTTCGGCAATTGCAGAACAGCTGGTTTGTGGAAGGATGCTTGAGTCTAGAGCCCCAAGATTCGTGTCATTGCATGTGTGAGACACTGGGGCACGAGGAAAATAATGTCTTCCTCATGAACAGAAGGGGCTAGGCAATTAAGAACACACTTAGCTGATGACCTGCGTGTCCGTTCCACATGGAGGATATATTGTCTGATGACAGATAGGGTGACTCATCAGACAGCTGTAACCCGATCAAACAGAAATATCCAATTTCCTCGCTCTGGTTCCAGGCAAGCAAATTATCTTAATTTGGTTTCCATGGCAGTTTCCTCAGACAAGAGGAGGAGGACAGATATGCATTCCCAAACTACATCAACAATGGGAAATTGGCATTCTTTTGTAGAAGCAAAATTAGATCACATGTATCACATATAGAAATGACTTAAAATGATATAAAATAGCATCCAAGGGAAGGGCATAGAATCCTCTCTCTCTCTCTCTCTCTCTCTCTCTCTCTCTCTCTGTCTCTGTCTCTGTCTCTATCTTTCTCTGTCTCTGTCTCTCTGTATCTCTGTCTCTCTCTCTCTATATATATATATCCTGGAGCTTGAACTCATGGTCCAGATGCTTTCCCTAAGCTTTTTCACTCAAGGCTAGCTCTCTACCACTTGAGCCACAACTCCACTTCTGGCTTTTTGGTGTTTAGTTGGAGATAAGGAGTCTCATGGAATTTCCTGCCCAGGCTAGCTTTGAATTTTGCTCCTCGGATCTCAAGTCTCCTGAGCAGCTGAGATTATAGGCGTGAGCCACCAGTGCCCAGCTAAGAATCCGAGCCATCAGGAAACTCAGTGGCACAGTTTTTTCTCCTCATACACGGTCATGCATGCAAGATTTGTGGCCAGTGGGACAACTGAAGAAGTCTCAGAGACAGCGAAGCAACCCAACAGACTGGAGAGCTGCTGTTCCTCCCATCCGGTGTGGCTGGCTCTGGCTGCTGGCTCCCAGGCTGCATCCACCCAGCCTTCTATCCAGGCTGAATTGCTTGCTGCAGGTGCAGAAAGCTTCCATGCTGCTCACCTAGAGTCTCTGATGCCATAGGCTTGCCCTGCCTTCTATTCTCACCTTCTCTTCTTTGGCCTGTTTGGATCTGGAGGCGGCAAGAGACCTCTAGGCAGGCTGCCCCTCACCAGCACTGGCCTAACCCACCTGGCATCTCAGCCACTCAAGCTGCCAGTCTCGCATTACCAAAGGGGCGGGGGGAATGGGTCTCCATCGGCCATCGAGGTAGACAAAAGGAGACAGTAACAGTGTGGACACGTTGTGCCCAGGGCTTTCCCATTCACTGCAGGAGGAAGACACTCTTGCTGTCTAGCCAGGACGTTCGACAAATTCAGGAGAGAGATGAACTGGCCCCGTTCTTGCATCTCGTTTTGCTGGATTTATTTTGCTGCTTCTGGACTGAGAGGTGAGAGGCTGGCATCATGCACCCGGCGTGGCTCCCCGGGGTGATTGCTTCGGTGGGAGGTGGGGTGGGGCAGGAGAGACATAAGGGTTTGTGTATCTTCCTGACATGCCGTCGCAGTAGCCTGTGTACACAGTCAAAACCTGCTCCCCACCGATGTGCGGCCATCTCCAATGTTTGACCTCAGCCCAGGGCTCTTTGTCACAAAATGCACACAACACCCTGCATGTTGACCCAGCCCTTTCTCTTTTGAGCAGCTGTGGAAACAGCAGATGGAAAATATGCTCAGAAATTGTTCAATGACCTTTTTGAAGATTATTCCAATGCTCTTCGTCCAGTGGAAGATACAGATAAAGTTCTAAATGTCACACTGCAGATCACTCTGTCTCAGATTAAGGACATGGTGAGTCACATAGCTTGGTGGCACTTTGGAAGGGGGGTGGCGCATTGGAATGAAAACAAGCGTGCCTCCTGAAAGGAATTTCTTTTTTCTTTTTTGTCATCGTTGGTCATGGGGCTTGAACTCTAGACCTGGGTGCTGTCCCTCAGCTCTTCAACTCAAGGCGAGCGCTCTACCACTTGAGTCACAGCACCACTCTTAGTTTCTGGTGATTTATTGGCGATAAGAGTTGTGTGGACATTCCTGCCTGGGCTGGCTTTGAACTGTGATCCTCAGATCTCAGCCTCCTGAGTAGCTATAATTACAGGCGTGAGCCTCTGTCGTGCAGCTCTGAAGGGAATATCTTAAGGCAGGAACTTGTGAGGGACAAAGATCATCCTGTGCCCCAGCTGGTGGGAGGAGAGAAAGCCAAAAGATGGAGCTTTCCACAAAATGAATGAGTTAAATATGATCTGATGTTCACTAACATTACTATTACTTACCATGTGGTTATCAATACTAACAGATAGTTTTGGGTAAAGAAAAGTATTGCCCAGTGTTGCTGGCTTACTTCTGTCATCCTAGCTACTCAGGAGGCTGAGATCTGAGGATTGCAGTTCAAAGCCAACCTGGGCAGGAAAGTCGTGAGACTCTTTATCTCCAATTAACCAGCAGAAAACTGGAAGTGGTGTTGTGGCTTAAAGTGGTAGAGTACTAGTCTAAAACAAAAAGACCTCAGGACAGTGTCCAGGCCTCAAGTTCAAGCCCTGTGATCGGAAAAAAAAAAAAAAGATGTTGTTATATATGGTATGATTCCACTGAGAGGAATTGCCCCAAATGTAATCCACTGAGACAGAAAGCAGAGCTGTGCTTATGGAGGACTGAGGGAGGAGGAAGAAATGACGGGTGATTGCTTAGTAGTTATGGGGCTTCCTTTGGAGATGATGACAATATTCTTCAATTACATGGTACGATATCGTGAGTGTATTAGAAGCTACTGAATTAGATAATTTTAAAATAGTTAAGATGGTGATTTTTTTTAAAAAAATCTCCATTTTAAAGAATGGTGACATTCAAGCTTATTTAGTGCCTGAACTCTGTTTAATTACATAGTTATCAGCCTCGAAGGACTTGTCCTCTGTGTATAGTAGAGATTTCCTGGTGGCCTCAGGCAAGTATATCATTAGTTGATTCATTTTCAGAGAAAATGGGGCAGTTGGTCCCTGCAAAGATCTGAATGCTGCAATATTTGCCTTCATTCTGAACACAGAATCAAGAAGGAACACGTGTGGCCTTGTTCGTCCATCCAGCTGCTAGAGCTAAACATTGTTCATTAAACACTAGAGGCTTGTTCTTGACCTTCCTGTCATCAAAAGCAGTGTCCTGAAAATGGAGGACATGCATACAGCTCGAGTGTCGACAGGATAAAGTGACATCTGGATTCCTTGTGCAGGATGAAAGAAACCAAATTCTGACTGCCTACCTCTGGATCCGCCAGAACTGGTATGACGCATACCTCACATGGGATCGAGACCAGTATGACGGGCTGGACTCGATCGGCGTACCCAGTGACCTTGTGTGGAGGCCGGACATCGTTCTGTACAACAAGTAAGTGTGGTAGAACTGAAGAGTTCCTGGAAGGAAACGGTTCATTAAATGGAAGTCAGAGCATGCATAAAACATGCACAAGGTTAAGTATTAACCCAAATGCCTAGTCCCTTCAACAAGGCTCATGAAATCTCAGGTAAGCTCCTAAAAGCTTACCGATGGAAGGAGACCATGGAATTCAGCCCACAGCCTGGCTTTCAGCAGAGGGATTGGAAACTGTTTTAGTTTTCCTAGGCCTGCCCGAGCAAGTGGCACAAATTAAGTGACTTTCAACAGAAAGGTGGCATCTCAGACTTCTGGAGGCTGGAAGAGGAGCTCAGCGTGTTACAGTTGCTTCCTTCTGAGGGCCGCCAGGGGAGCCTGTTCCTCACCTGTCCCTAGCATCAAGTGGCATGTGCCATCATCGGCATTCCTTGAAATGAGGAAGCATTGCTGTCTTTACCTTCATCTTCACATTGTTCTCCTCTGTGCTTCCTGTGCCCAACTCTCTCTCTCTCTCTCTCTCTCTCTTCATTTATTAATTTAGTTATTTTGTGCTGGTACCGGAGTACTGGGGCTTGAACTCAGGGCCTGGATATTTCTTTCTTGGCTTTTGCTGATGCTCTACCACTTGAGCCACACCTTCATTTCTGGCTTTTTTGCTAGTTTTGGAAATAAGAATGGCATGGACTTTCCTGCCCAGGCTAGCTTCAAGTCATGATCCTCAGATCTCAGCCTCCTGAGGAGCTAGGATTAGAGGTGTGAGCCACGGTCACCCAGCTCAATAATTTCAATAAAAGTCATGTGATATTGGCTTAAGTGCCCATCCTGCCCCACCATGACTTCAACTAATGGCACCTACATTAACTATTCTTCTACAGAGGCATGTTCTGAGATGCTAGTAGAATAGAACTTCAAGACAGGAATTTTCTGGGGTTATTACTTAGCCTTACCGTCCAAGATTATGAATCAATAATGATGCTGCTGCTGAAATTAAGTAGGAATGGACCATCTAGAAGCTAGCTCGTGGACTCTATGGAGGGTAAACCAAATCATAGGACAGCTGGCTCTTCCCTGCTCTTGGAGCCAGGGCCACTGTGTGCATCTGTAGGAAAGGTATGTGCTTCTTTTTTTTCTTTTCTTTTCTTTTTTTTTTTTTTGTTGGTCGTGGGGCTTGAACTCTGGGCCTGAGCGCTGTCCCTCAGCTCTTCAGCTCAAGGCTAGCGCTCTACCACTTGAGCCACAGCACCACTTCCAGTTTTCTAGTGGTTTATTGGAGATAAGAGTCTCACGGACTTTCCTACCTGGGCCAGCTTCAAACCTTGATCCTCAGATCTCAGCCACCTAGGATTACAGGCGTGAGCCACGGGTGCCCGGCAGTGTATGCTTCTTAAACTGTCAAGTGCACAAGTATGGCCTGGGGATTTTGTCAAAATAATTCTGGGGTAGGACTGGGATTGTGGCTCAGTGGTAGAGTGCTTGCCTAGCATGCATGAAGCCCTGAGTTTAATTCCTCAGTGTCACATAAACAGAAAGAGTCAGAAGTGGGGCTGTGGCTCAAGTGGAAGAATGCTAGCCTAGGGGCTGGGAAGATGGCTCAGTGGTAGAGCGCTTGCCTTGCATGCCTGAGGCCCTGGGTTCGATTCCTCAGCACTACATAAGCAAAAAGATAAAAGCCGGAAGTGGCGCTGTGGCTCAAGTGGTAGAGTGCTAGCCTTGAGCTGAAGAGCTGAGGGACAGTGCCCAGGCCCAGAGTTCAGGCCCCACAACCGGACCCCCAAAAAAAAAAAAGGAAGAATGCTAACCTTGAACAAAAGCAGCTCAGGGACAGTGCCCAGCCTTGAGTTCAAGCCCCAGGACTGGCAAAAGAAAAACAACCCTCTGGGGTCTAGTGTTGGTGTTCAGGGACCTCAGGGTACACTTTGGGAAGCCAGATCTTTCTGTCACTATTCAAGCTCTTTCTCCATCTATTGTTGAGGGAACTTCCCTTTTGTTATTTTATATATGTATGTATGTGTGTATGTATGTCTGTATGTCTGTATGTATGTCTGTATGTCTGTATGTATGTCTGTATGTCTGTATGTATTTAGGAACCCAAGTGTCTGTGAATTGAGACAGGTTCTTTCTGTGATTTTGAGTAATGTGAATGAGGGAAATTTCATGAAGATCCTTAGTGGAGCCTCCTAGCGGTGGCAGCCTTATTCCTTTACTTCGCTCACCCACTGGTCATGGCCTCTGGAATCACAGCCCTAAACCTGCTGTCCTTTCTCTACCCTTGCTAGCCAGAGACATGTTCCCCATCCCTGTCACGCAAGACAGCACTGAGGAGCTAATGCTCTATCACTCTGGTTCACCCTACCTCTCTGTGCACTCTCGGGGTGTCTGTGTCTCTCTGTCTCTCTGAGTCTCTGTCTCTCTCTCTCAGAATGAGCTACATGTTCCATACCACTCTCATCCACAGGATGCATAGATTGTCTCTCATAGCTTTCTTCTAACAATTCTTCCTGAAAGCAAACAGAACTCAGGCTCTCCTCCTTTTTGCTTTGATTGGCCAAGGCAATAACCAGCTCACTCTAAAATGCCCTAGCCCCCCACCGTAGCGAAGCAAGCTGTGTATTCATAAAGCATGCACACAGCTCGTCTTCCTGGCAGAGCCACTGAAGAAAGAGTAATGACAAAAGAAAAATCAAAGTTCTGTTCCCAAAAGTGTTATACACAGGTGCAGACAAAGCCTAAGAGAATATATCTAGATTATGTAATTTCCAACAAGATTATGAGTGAATTACTTTTTCCATCTGTATTTCTCAAATGTTTGTAATGACAACCATAATTTTATTACAATGAAGCAACTTTATATTCTGGTGCTTACGTGAACAAAATCAGGCCTTGACAGGGTTTATTTATTTATTTTTTGTCTGCATGTCAAATCACTGGTCCAAGAGAGTAGTACTTCAGTGGGCAGAGGCAGCATGGTATAGGAACTTTGTGTGTGTGTGTGTGTGTGTGTGTGTGTGTGTGTGTGTGTGTGTGTGTGTGCGCTAGCTCTAGGGCTTGGACTCAGGGCCTGGGTGCTGTCCTTGAGCTCTTTTGTTCAAGGCTAGCACTCTACCACTTGAACCACAGTGCCATTCCAGGCTGTTTCTGAATAGTTTATTGGAGATAAGTTTCACGAACCTTCCTGTTCATGCTGACTTCAAAATGCTATCCTCGGGCTGGGAATATGGCTTAGTGGTAGAGTGCTTGCCTTGCATGCATGAAGCCCTGGTTTCAATTCCTCAGTATCACATACACAGAAAAAGCCAGAAGTGGCGCTATGGCACAAGTGGTAGAGTGCTGGCCTTGAGCAAAAGAAGCTCAAGGACAGTGCTCAGGCCCTGAGTTCAAGCTCCAGGACTGGCAAAAAAACAAAACAAAACAAAAAAAAACAACCCAAAACCTGGGATCCTCAGATCTCAGCCGCCTGAGGAGCTAGACTGAAAGGCGTCAGCCACCAGCGCCTGGCTGGTGCGGGGATTTTGAAGGACTACAAGGTGGTCTGATTATTCACAGGAGGGGGGGGGAGAAATGGATACATTTCTCAGTGACAGGACAAGAGGTGGTGCAGTGCCAAAGCTGCTAAAGGTGCGAGCCATAAGCTGTCTGGCGTAAGGAAGTTGCTAAGTTCTCCTAGTGTCTGTCAATGTCCCCCTCCCGCCTGCAGAGCTGATGACGAGTCTTCAGAGCCAGTGAACACAAATGTGGTCTTGCGATACGATGGGCTCATCACCTGGGACTCACCAGCCATCACCAAGAGCTCCTGTGTGGTAGACGTCACCTACTTCCCCTTCGATAACCAGCAGTGCAACCTGACCTTCGGCTCTTGGACCTACAATGGCAATCAGGTGGATATATTCAATGCCCTGGACAGCGGCGATCTCTCCGACTTCATCGAAGACGTGGAATGGGAGGTCCATGGCATGCCGGCCGTGAAGAACGTGATGATCTACGGCTGCTGCTCTGAGCCTTACCCGGACTTAACCTTCACGCTCCTTCTGAAGCGGAGGTCCTCGTTCTACATCGTCAATCTGCTCATCCCGTGTGTCCTCATCTCTTTCCTTGCTCCCCTGAGTTTTTATCTCCCAGCAGCCTCTGGGGAGAAAGTCTCCCTGGGAGTGACCATCCTATTGGCCATGACGGTATTTCAACTCATGGTGGCAGAGATCATGCCGGCTTCTGAAAATGTTCCTCTGATCGGTGAGTTCAAGTGTCTTATTCCTTGAGCTAGCTTTGTAGAGAAAAATGATGTGTGTGTGGCAGGGCGGGGGGGGGGGGGGGGGGCAACTGAGCCAACTTAAACTTTAATACAAATGGTCACCTAAATATCTGCAGTTGGAATCTTTGAATATAGATATGGTTGTTGGGATGAAATTGGCCTTTTGGAGTCTTGGGTCTACATGAAATCACAGCTTAGAGTTATGGTTCTCCAAGGGGTGGTCCCTGGAGCAGCCACCTGCACCTCAGCTGGGAAGTCTTAGATACGCAAATCCTCAGGCCATCCTCTAGTCCTCTGGGAGGGTGACCTGGTGATCTGTTTAAACAAGCCTTCTGGGTAGCTCCGATGCACTTTGTGTGTAACTCTGAAAACCTCGGACTTAGAAGTCTCTGGATTTGAAGTCAGAGGAGCCTGCCTTGCTGTGCTGACTTCACTGCATGCTCTTTGGTAAATCTGAGGCACATTGCTTAATCTCTTCGTCTGTGCTTCATCCTGTGCAAAACTGCTATAATTGCTACCTCTGGAGCTATTGCATAGCGCACAACCTGGCTGACCATTGGTCCTGAGTCAACAGTGGCCTGCGCTGTCTTTTCACATTGTAAGGGCTTTCCCCTAGGGAAGAATGGCAACTAGAACAGAGAGATGAGCCAGAATATATCTATCTATCTATTGGTCATGGGCCAGAACTCTGGGCCTGGGCACTGTCCCTCAGCTCTTCAGCTCAAGGCTAGCGCTCTACCACTTGAGCTATAGCACCACTTCCAACTTTTTTCTGCTTATATGGTGCTGAGGAATCGAACCCAGAGCCTCATGCATGCAAGGCAAGCGCTCTATCACTGAGCTACCTTCCCAGCCTGATGAGCCAGCATTTCAATCCTGACATTTATCCTTAATAGAGCAAGTCTCCACCTTTACTGGGTAGAAGAGCACTGGGAGTGCTTATTAGAATGCAGGTTTCTTCACCCAGAGTTTGGTTTGAGCAATGGTGACCAAGATTTGGGTTATCTTAGGTGATTGTTTTAAAGCAAACACATTTAAAAAAAAGAAAGAAAGAAAGAAAGAAAGAAAGAAAGAAAGAAAGAAAGAAAGAAAGAAAGAAAGAAAGAAAGAAAGAAAGAAAGAAAACAGCCCAACAACTCAATAGCTGGGCACCAGTGGCTCACGCTGGTAATCCTAACTACTCAGGAAGCTGAGATCTGAGGATCATGGTTCAAAGTCAGCCTGGGCAGAAAAGTCCTTGAGACCCTTTAGACTCTAAAGGACTTAGAGACCATCATCAAATTAATGTTGTATGATCTTTTGATTTCTACAAAATTCAGTTATCCAATATTTCAACATTACTGGTTTTATTGGAGACTTCCCTTTATGTCTTAACCTGGCAATACACACACACACACACACACACACACACACAAAAGATTTCTCTCTCACTCATTAGTGTACTAAATTATTGCAAAGGTTTTCTGAAGTTTGGTGGGGGTTTTTTGCTTGTTTATTTTTGTTTTTGTCAGTCATGGGACCTGAACTCTGGGCCTGGGCACTGTCCTTCAGCTCTTCACAAGGCTAGCTCTACCCCTGGAGCCACAGTGCCACTTCTGGCTTTTTCCTGCTTATGTGGTGCTTGAGGACTCGAACCCAGGGCCTCATGAATGTGTGGCAAGCGCTCTACCACCGAGCCACCTTCCCAGCCCTGAAGTTGAAATTCTTTTATTCTTCGACTCCTTTGTCATATTTTGTTTGGTTTGGTTTGGTTTTGGTCGGTCATGGGGCTTGAACTCTAGGCCTGGGCATTGTCCCTGAGCTCTTCGGCTCAAGGCTAGCACTCTACCACTTGAGCCACAGCACCACTTTTGGCTTTTTCTGTTTATGTGGTGCTGAAGAATCGAACCCAGGGCTTCATGCATGCAAGGCAAGCACTCTACCACTGAGCCACCTTCCCAGCCCTTCTTTGTCATATTATAAGCTAAAGAGACTGTAAGATTCTGTCAGGAAATATTTCTAAAGTGTCTCACGTATGTCTATAAGCAGAATGCCTTAACATTTCTTTTCACTTTTACAATCAGTGTTAAATTGATTTTTTGTAAAATGAATTTATCTTTTCTCTATTTCTGGAACTTGTATAAAATAGGAATTCTGTCTCTTGAAAATTTGATAAAACTCACTTATTATTTCTTTTGAGCCTAGAGCCTTTTTATGCGGGGAGAAGAAGTATTTTATTGGCTCCCATTTTTAGTGTTCTGTCTTCTTACATTAATTTTGAAATATTTTATTTTTCTAGAAATGTTATCTAGATTATTAAATATATTAGCATAAAATATTTCTATTACTTTATCTTTTTAATGTATTCTTTTGCATTCTTTATTTTTCTCCTGTGAGTAGCCTTACCAGAACCAAGTATTTATCAATTTTATTGCCATCTCTTCTCTTTCCCATTTTCCTTCTCCTTCTCCTTTCTTCTTTTTGCTGTGTTGTCCAGGCTGTCTTCAAAGTCATGGACTCAAGCGATCTTCCTGCCTTAATCTCACTAGTAGCTGATTCTAAGCCAATGTGGACAACTTTATTACTCTTCTCAAAAGTTTGTCTATTTTTTTCATCTTCTCAGTTTCTCATTCTGTATTGCATAAATCTGTGCCTTTAATTCAGCTACTTCCCTTTTTTAAAAAATAATCATTTGTGGGCTGGGAAGGTGGCTCAGTGGTAGAGCGCTTGCCTTGCATGCATGAGGCCCTGGGTTCAATTCCTCAACACCACATAAGCAGAAAAAAAAGCCGGAAGTGGCGCTGTGGCTCAAGTGGTAGAGTAATAGCCTTGAACTGAAGAGCTGAGGGACAGCGCCCAGGATCACGACTAGACCCCCCCCAAAAAATCATTTGCTTAAAGATAATCACACTTTTAAAGGTAATGCCATAGTGCCTCCTTCCTCACCCAATACAATAGTAATTGTCTTCCATATTAACAAGGTCAGAAGACAGTTCTAAAACCTGGACAAGTTTATTAACTGTTGTAAGAGAAGAAACTTTTTTCTCCATTATCTGGTAAACATTTGCTATAAACATTTAACATGGAGCCAAGGTTTGTGCTGAGAACTTTACATGTTTTACATGTGTTAAGCTCCACATATTTTGCTGAGACAGCACAATCATTATACTCATTTAGGGAACTGCAGCGTGGTGAGACTGTGTCTTACTCTAGGTTACATGCCACAGGGGTGGCCAAAATCTAACCCAGAAAGTCGAATTCAAAGTCTATCCTAGAAACTGAGCATTAGTACCTCACACCTTCCGTCCTAGCTACTCAGAAGGCTGAGATCTGAGGATCCCAGTTCAAAGCCAGCCCAGGCAGAAAATTCCCTATCTCCAAGTACCAAAGAAGCTGGAAGTGGAGCTGTAACTCAGTGACAACAGTGCCCAGGCCCTGAGTTCAAGGCTACCGTAGAGACCACAGAATAGACCCCTTCCGTGGGAAAGATGCAGACTATGTCTGCGTTACAACTAACAGCTGAAGTTCCTTTCATTCCAGGCAAATACTACATAGCCACCATGGCCCTGATCACAGCCTCCACCGCCCTCACCATCATGGTGATGAACATCCACTTCTGCGGGGCTGAGGCCCGGCCCGTGCCGCACTGGGCCCGCGTGGTCATCTTGAAGCACATGGCTAGGATCTTGTTCGTGTACGATGTGGGTGAGAATTGCCTCAGACCGCGCCACCCCCAGGAGCCCGACCACCTCACCAAGGTCTATAGCAAACTCTCAGAATCTAACCTCAAGACATCCAGGAACAAAGATCTTTCCAGAAAGAAAGAAGTGACCAGACTCTTAAAGAATGACCTCAGGTGCCAGGGTGAGACCCTGCAGGACAGAGATAGCTTCTGTCCGAGGTATGAGGGGCTGACCAGAAACATCGAGTACATCGTCAAGTGCCTCAAAGACCACAAGGCCACCAACTCCAGAGGCAGTGAATGGAAGAAGGTGGCAAAAGTCATAGACCGCTTCTTCATGTGGATTTTTTTCATTATGGTGTTTGTGATGACTATTTTGATCATAGCAAGAGCCGATTAGTAATTAGCATTTGATATTGGGGGAGAACTCAGTAAAATGTCTTTGGTCCCCTCCAATGTTGTTTCCAGCCAGATTGTTTTACATACAAAACTTAGAAAGTTCTATTGGGACTGGGAAGGTGGCTCAGTGGTAGAGCACTTGCCTTGCATGCATAAGGCTCTGGGTTCGATTCCTCAGCACCACATAAGCAGAAAAAAGCCAGAAGTGGTTCTATGGCTCAAGTGGTAGAGCGCTAGCCTTGAGCTGAAGAGCTGAGGGACAGTGCCCAGGCCCAGAGTTCAGGCCCCACGACCAACAAAAAAGAAAAAGAAAGAAAGAAAAGAAAAGAAAGAGATGGGCTGGGAAGGTGGCTCAGTGGTAGAGTACTTGCCTTGCATGCATGAAGCCCTGGGTTTGATTCCTCAGCACCGCATATGCAGAAAAAGCCGCAAGTGGCGCTGTGGCTCAAGTGGTAGAGCGCTAGCCTTGAGCTGAAGAGCTGAGGGACAGCACCCAGGCCCAGAGTTCAGGTTCCACAACCGGCAAAAAAAAAAAAAAAAAGAAAAGAAAAGAAAGAGAAAGTTCTATTGTCTATGCTTTTTATTTTCCCCTTGAAATCAATTTTTTTTTGGGGGGGGAGTCCGGTGTGGGGCCTGAACTCTGGGCCTGGGCGCTGTCCCTCAGCTCTTCAGCTCAGGGCTAGCACTCTACCACTTGAGCCACAGCTCCACTTCTGGCTTTTTTCTTTTTTGCTAATATAGTGCTGAGGAATCGAACCCCAGGGCCTCATGCATGCAAGGCAAGTGCTCAACTACTGAGCCACCTTCCCAGCCCTGAAATCAATATTTTTTATCTTTCTGGAAGCACTGGAGTTTGAATTCAGGACCTTGTGCATTTTCCTTCAGTCTGTATTAATGCTGGCTTTTATTTTGTGTTTAGGGATGCTGGGGTTTGAACTGAAGGCCCCATGCTTGATAGGAAAGCATTCTAACACTTGGGCCATGTTACCAGTCTCAAAACATGTTTTTCTTTTAGGTATGTGAATAGCAGTATCAAAGCTTGAACTCAGGGTCTGGGTGCTGTTCCTGAGCTTCTTTGCTTAAAGTTAGTGTTTTACCACTTGAGCCACAGCTCCATTTTTGGCTTTTTTGGTAGTTAATTGGAGATTAGTCTCTCACAACCTTCCTGTCCAGGCTGGCTTTGGACTTCGATCTTCAAGATCTCAGTCTCCTGAGTAGCTAGAATTATAGGCATGAATTACTAGCACCTGGTTAAACATTATGCTAGCACAGAACTATCCAATTGTGTGTATAACTTTTCCGTAGTTCAGATTTCTTACATCTCAAGATAAATTTGTCTAGAGCTAGACTGAGCAGGTCTTGCTGAGTCATGCCAAAAAATTTTAACTTCAGTCAGAGAAATCTCTGAGAGACACAGGTTTTTAAGCAAGGGAGTGGTAGAGTGAGATTTGTGTTTCAAAAATAAAACTATAAGCTGGGCACCAGTGGCTCATGCCTGTAATCCTAGCTACTCAGGAGGCTGAGATCTGAGGATCTTGGTTCAAAGCCAGCCCAGGCAGGAATGTCCATGAGACTCTTACCTCCAATAAACACTCAGAAAACTGGAAGTGGCTCTGTGGCTCACATGATAGAGTACTAGCCTTGAGCTGAAGAGCTGAGGGACAGCGCCCAGGCCCAGAGTTCAAGCCCCATGACTGACTATAAATAAATACATAAATAAACAAATAAATAAAAATAGAAAATAAGACTATAGGTAGCAATTAATTTATTTTTGAAAAAATGAAGCAGGGATCTGTTGTAATGTGATGATGAAGGCCTGACACCCAAGACAGAAGGAAGAAGAAAATGGAAATGACTGTTGGTCACAAAGCAAGTATGACCTTGAATTGGCAGGACTTGGTGCTTAGCTTGCTGTGACCAGCTGAGGGAGTGGTGTTCCAGAGAGATGTAGGGGTGAGAAGGAATTAGCATTCTTAGAAGGGAGGAAACTCAAGGGCAGGAAAAGCTTATTGTTTTACAATTGGCAAAAGAGAAAAGATGCCTGCAAGGCAGGGCCACAGTCAAGTTAGGGGCAAGAGAGATGCAAGAGTCAAACCTGGGCTGGGCACATATCTTATAATCCCAGCTATACCAGAGGCAGAAAAGGGAGGATCAAGCTCCAAGGCTAGCCTGGGCAAGATTAGCATGACCCTATCTGAAAAATCAACTAAAGCAAAAGGGGCTGGAGGTGTGGCTCAAGATGTTGAGTGCTTGCCTAATGAAGCCCTGAATTCAAACTCCAGTCTTGAGAAAGAGGGAGAGGGAGAGAAAGAGAGAGCAAGGAGGAGGAAGAGGAAGCAGGAAGAAGAAAGAAAGAAAGAAAGAAAGAAAGAAAGAAAGAAAGAATGAAAGAAAGAAAGGAAGGAAGGAAGGAAAAAAGAAAGCAGAAGGAAGGAAGGGAGGGAGGAAGGGAGGAAGGAAGGGAGGAAAGAAGGGGAGAAGGAAGAGGAAGAGGAGGAGGAAGAGGAGGAGGAGGAGTAATGAGAAGAGAGGAGCCGGGGCCAGTGGCTCACACCTGTAATCCTAGATACTCAAGAGGCTGAGATCTGAGGATCACAATTCAAAGCCAGGCCTGGCAGGAAAGTCCATTAGACTTTTATCTCCAATACTCAGAAAACAGGAAGTGATGCTGTTGCTGGAGCTGAAGAGCTGAGGGACAGCGCCCAGGCTCAGAGTTCAAGCCCCATGACCAACAAAAAAAAAAAAAAGAGGAGGAGGAGGAAGGAAGAGAGAGAGGAAAGGCCAATCCTAGCAAGGTAAGCAGGTCCTGGTTATTCAGAGCCTGGTAAATTTGGAAGAGCTACAAATCACATTGCTTATTAGTGTCCTGAGATATCCATGCATTTCTTGAGGTCCTGACCTTTGCCCTTTCTGGGTGTCTCTTGTCTACTTTTCCATCAGCTAAGGGCTTAGCTTTGCCAACATAGCCACAGGCAACCCTGGCAAATGGACAGGCAAACTGGAAACACAGGTTGTGGCTGTGTGAAGCAATGGCTGTGGGTCATTTACAGCCTCTAGGCCCTAAAGAAGCTCCATCTTCCTCCTCTCAGGTTACACCTTTTGAAATATGACCTAGCTGTTAAGACTTCATAAGCTTCTCCAACCCTACAAAATAAAAGCCCTTGGCCTTTGTGTTCCCATCTCTGAGCTCTTCTCAGCCAAGTCTCCTTAGGATACCATCCGAGGTTCTTGCAGGACAGGACAGACCAATCCCAGCAAGGTTGGGAAGGAAGCCATAGACAGGCTTGGCACAGCACAGCTCTGACCCCTCAGAGACCTGAGCAGCAGCGGGAGGGCATAGTGACCTGACGCCAAGACGAGGGACAATGAAGTCTAACTGAACGCAGGCCACTTACCCAGTAGGTAAGGACATGGGGGAATATGCCTGACCCCCTCTTTCCCCCAGACTCCTCCCTGGGCTTACTGAATACCAAATGCAACAGTCTAGGGAAAGTATGCCAAATGGCTGATCACTTCCTCCTCCTCTGTTATTACAGTGTGTGTGTGTGTGTGTGTGTGTGTGTGTGTAATCCCAGCCTTTGACCATGATACCATGTGTTCTACCACCACTGAGCCATACCCCCCCACCAACCCCACTTTTTGCTTCTTAAGTGACCCCCAGGTTGGCTCCAGTCTTTTGTTTTTTGGTAAGGGTTGGTGTCTGGGTGCTGCACCCCCAGCTTTCCTCACTCATGGCCGTTATTCCCCTACCCCTCCTGACATTTCTCCAAATCATCTGTCTATCCTGGATCAGTAGATCAAGTTTCAAATCCTACAGTCTTCCACTCAGACATTCATTAAATGCCTCACAGGGATTCAAATTCACTAAGGTCCAAACGAAGCTCGTTGACACAGCCACCTCAAGCAGTTTTGTTAATTCACCATCAACTCCATTATCCAGGCTAGGAATCAGGCACTTAAGTCATTCTCAATCCTTATCCAAGATATTGTTGGCCAATGATCTTGCCCTTTTACAATTAAATGTTCTTTTACTGTTAAATATTTTTCAAATCAAGTCTTCTTTCTGGTCGGCTCATTCTGGTCTTTGCTGTCTTTGCTGTTGCAATAGTATTCTAAGTGAGCTACCTATTTGTAGTTTCTGGCCCCTGGATTCTGTCTTCCTTCTGTACCAATGCCAATTCTTGTAATTCTTCCTCTTAAAAATTTTGACAAACTAGCGCTGGGAAGGTGGCTCAGTGATAGAGCACTTGCCTTGCATGCATGAGGCCCTGGGTTTGATTCTGAAGCACCACATAAGCAAAACGAAAAAGGCCGGAAGTGGCGCTGTGGCCCAAGTGATAGAGCGCTAGCCTTGAGCTGAAGAGCTGAGGGACAGCGCCCAGGCCCAGAGTTCAGGCCCCACAACTGGGCTCTCCCTTCCCCCCCAAAAAAAAGAAAGAAAGAAAAGACAAATATATTGGCTACTTTACACCATGCTCCAATTTATGTGACAAAAGGTAGAATGAAACTATTTAATAAAGAATTAAATGAGATATCTTGCCCATGTAATGGTAACCCCCCTGTACAGTATTTTCACAATAAAAAATACGTTTAAAAAAAAGAATTAAATGAGAAATAATAGATTGGAATGTATCATTAATACTCCCAACATTATATTTGTAAGCACTGAGAGTAAACAGCTACAAAAAATGAAGATACTACCCACTTAAGAACAATTAAAAATAAGAAGATAATTTAGGGGAAAAAAAAACTCATATGGCTAAAACAATACAATTAAAACCAGACAGTTTTATGGGCACCAGGGGCTCATGCCTGTAATCGTAGCTACTCAGGAGGCTAAGATCTGAAGATCACAGTTCAAAGCCAGCCCAGGCAGGAAAGTCTGTGAGACTCTTACCTCCAATAAGCCACTCAGAAAACCGGAAGTGGCACTGTGGTTCCAGTGGTAGGATGCTAGCCTTGAGCTGAAGAGCTGAGGGACAGCGCCTAGGCTCCGAGTTCAAGCCCCATGACCAAAAACAACAACAACAAAACCCCCCACCATACAGTCTGCTAAAGGACAC